CGCTTTTCTACATACAATCAACACACATCAACTTTAATACATGCAATGTCTTGATTATAGAAATGCACGAAAATTGGCTTGCCAGGCGAATATTATTTTATCGCTGATTAATTACAATGCAACCGCTTTGCGTATGAGTAAATCGACTAGTAGGAAATTAAAAAATTTCAAAAACTCTACTGCAAAATGCTTTAAAGAGACGATTTCAATACGAACGTTTTCGTACTCCGTATCTCTTGGCTTCATAAAACTATTTCTCGTTAAATATCCTCGCTAATGATTGCATTCGCTCGTTGCGCTCCTACAAAATGGAAAACAACAACAACAACAACAACAACAACAACAACAACAACAACAACAACAACAATAACAACAATAATAACAATAACAACAACAACAAACAACAACAACAACAACGAAAAAATAACGAAAAAACAACTGGTTAACATATTTCCAAGTATTACGCAACGTGTAAAAGGCAATGGGAATGCGTTTAAGGCAAGCGCCGAGTGTCGTTTCGATGTCGTCCCAGTCGTCCTAATACCTTCCGAAGGTCAACGCGGCCGAGAACAGTAAAATTGTGCTCCGGTGCCAACAAAGGATTTCCCTTTCGTCAATACTCCAATTTTTTTTCTCCCACCATTCATTAGCCGAGGAACTAATAGACGTCCAAGGCCGTGACGTAACGCGCGCTGGCCCAGCTCTTCATATTTTTTTGCTCATTTTGGCTTTTATTGCCACTCGCGCCTCCAAAATGCATGAGCCGACAGTCTGTTTCTCGGCCTCGCGGCGGCCTGACGGTATCTCAAATTTACCCACAAATAATCAAGTTAATCTCGCTATTTGTTCGATTAACCGGGGCCCGCGAGGGCATGTGAGCGCTTGTTGCGGTCGCGTTGCCGACGGGCGGTGATCGGGCGCGCGTAAACGCTTTCCTGGTCCTCCGATCGCCAGCTGTTTGACCGCGGGTCAACACAATGAATATAGTGGTATGTTGTCAAAATGTTAGAGGGCAATTGAACGGGGACGCAAGTTAACCGAGTGACTGTTAAATATTTGCGCACTGCCAGTAAAGGTGGCGCGTGTAGTGGAAGTATTTTATCACCACAACACGAGTGTATATCGGCCGCTATTCAATGCTCCTTGGGACATGGCGTTTTGAAAATTGTTTATGTCTTTCATACGCGATTAAAGTTTTCAACGTATTTTCATCTTCCTTATAGGATTCATGATAATTATTTTCTCCTACGGTTTATATTTATATTTAATCATCGGCATCGGCTTCTTTATCCGCTGGCTAGTCGAGCGCGAATACAATCTCTTATACGTGAAAATATTGTCCAGCGAGTGTTTAGCGTGTAAAAAAAAAAAAGAAAAAAAAAAAAGAAAAAAAATCGATAGCTTTTAATGGTATTAATTGCGCGAATTTCTAAATTCCAGAAAATTCATTTCCATATGTGTTTATATATTCGAGAATAATACTATCGATTGATATAAAAATCCATTGATTTGCCGATCCAACCAACGTTCAATAATGTACACATTATAACAAAATTCTACACTCCATACAGGGCCAAATGAACAACGAAAGAATAAAAAAAAAAAAAAAAAAAAAAAAAAAAAAAAAAGAAAAAGGACAAATAATATCTTGTCGCCATCGTTACTGTATCGACAAAACTCTTTGTCAATCTTTTTCAATAAAGATTCCAATTTTTTTTTCCACTCTATCCTCGAGTGAACATCCTCAAAGACGATCATCATTACGGCTGCTTAACTCCATTATTTAACAAGGCATTTAAGACATTTAAGGCATTTCAATATTGACAAGAAGTTTATTAACTATTTTAAGGGCAACAGTTTTTCCTTGTTGTTTATTTGTGTACTTATTCATTCGTTATTTCATAAGCTTATGCAATAATATGCATAAGGACAGTTGTACTTTCTCCGTCACAATAATAATCTGTTCACCTACGACGGATAACAATGAATTATTTATGATTAGCGTTGGTTAGGTATCGGCTTGGCTTGGTAAATCGCCCGTTAATAGTAATTGAGAAAGAGATATTTTTATATTATTTTTCATATTTATATTTGAATTGAAATTATGTAAAATAATTGAAGTGAAATTACGGGCTACAGATACGCGCCGTATCATACTTAATTTAACTTATCACATATTTAGAATTGTTTCGTCGC